AAATGACAAGTACTATCTAAAACCATCAGCAAGTTTTATCTTTAATGGGGATAAGCTAGAAGTCTTCCCAGTAAGATCAGGGCTGAAGCAAAGATGCCCTTTATCAACACTATTATTCAATATTGTGTTAGAAATGTTAGCTATAACAATAAAAGAAGAAAAAGAAATTGAAGGAATTAGACTAGACAACGAGGAAACAAAACTACCACTCTTTGCAGATGATATGATAGTATACTTAGAGAATCAACTTAAAAGGTAGTTGAAAAAATTGACATCTTTAGCAAAGTTGCAGGATATAAAATACACCCACATAAATCATCAGCATTTCTACGTATAAGAAACAAGGCCCAGCAGCATAAGATAGAAAGAGAAATTCCATTTAAAATAATGGTAGACACTATAACCCAGAAATTATATGAATATAATTATAAAACACTTTTCACACAATTGGAAAAATATTAATTGCTCGTGGTAGGCAAAGCCAAAATGACAATTCTACCTAAATTAACTTACTTATTCAATGCCATGCCCATCAAACCACCAAAAATTATTTGATAAAGCTAGGAAAAATAATAACAAAATTCATCTGGAAGAACAAAAGGTCAAAAATATCAAGGGAATTAATGGAAAAAAATACGAAGTAAAGTAGCCTAACAATACCAGATCTCAAACCATATTATAAATCAGTAATCATCAAAACTATCCCATACTGGCTAAGAGATAGAATGGTAGATTAGTGGAATAGATTAGGTACATAATACACAGTAGTAAATGACCATCATAATCTTTGCAGTAGTTCATTTGTTTCAGTTGTGTCCAACCCCATTTGGGGTTTTCCTGGCAAAAAATAGTGGAGTAGTTTGTCATTTCTTTCTCCAGCTCATGATACAGATGAGGAACTGAGGCAAAGACGGTTAAGTGATTTGTCCAGGGTCACACAGCTAGTAAGTGCTAAAGGCCAGATTTGAATTCAAGAAGATGAGTCTTCCAGACTTTGGGCCCAGAGTCTATCCACAGCACCATCGAGTGCCTCTCCCCTGCCCCTCCTGTAATCTAGTGTTTGATAAATCCAAACTTTTGGGACAAGAACTCACTATTTGACAAAAACTGCTGGAAAACTGGAAAACAGTTTGGCAGAGACTAACTATAGACAGATATTTTGCAACGCTTACCAAGATAAGGTCAAAATAGGTATAGGTTTTACACGTAAAGAGTGGCATCACGGGCAAATTAGAGGAGTATGGAATAATTTACCTGTCAGATCTATGGATAAGGGAAGAATTTATGACCAAACAAAAGAGAGAGAGCATTATAGTATGGAAAATGGATATTTTTGATTATATTAAATTAAAATTTTTGCACAAACAAAACTAATGCAGCAAAGATTAGAAAGAAAATGTAAAGCTGTTGGAACTTTTTTTTACAGCAGGTTACTCTGATAAGGACCTCATTTCTAACTACATAGAAAAACTGAGTCAAATTTATAAGAATACAGGTCATTCCTCAACAGAGAAATGGTCAAAGGATGTGAACAAGCAATTTTCTGACAAAGAAATCAAAGCTATTTAGTCTTTTGAAAAACAGTGCTCTAAATCACTATTAGAGAAATGCAAATTAAAACAGCTGAGGTCCCTTACACCTATCAGATTGGCTGATACGGTAGAAAAGGAAAATGACAAATTTGGAGAGAATGTGGGGAAATTGGGATACTAATGCATTGTTGGTGGAATTGTGAAATGATCCAACCATTCTGGAGAGCAATTTTGAACTCTGCCCAAAGGGCTATCAGATTGTGCATACCCTTTCATCCAGCGATACCACTACTAAGTCCGTATTCCAAAGAGATAAATAACAAAAAGGAAAAAGGACCTATATGTACAAAAAAAGATTTATTGCAGTTCCTAATGTGGTGGCAAAGAACTGGAAATTGAGGAGATGCCCATCAATTGGGGAATGGCTGAACAAGTTGTTGTATACGATTGTAATGGAATACTATTATGTATAAAAAAATGATGGGTAGGATGATTTCAGAAAAACCTGGAAAGAGTTACGTGAAATGATGCAGAATGAAGTGAAGTAAAAAAAAGAACATTGCACATAGTAACAGCAGTATTGTATGATGAGCAACTGTAAATGACTTAACTCTTCTCACCAAAACAGTGATCCAAGACAATTTCAAAGAACTCATAATGAAAAATGCTATCTATCTCTGGAGAAAGAATTGATAGACTCTGAATGCAGATCAAAACATGTTATTTTTCCCTTCTTTTGATATTTTGTCTGTTTTCTTTCACAGCATGACTAATGTGAAAACATGTTTTGTGTGATTGCACATGTATAACCTATATCAGGAATGCAGGGTTTATTCAGGGAAGACTTGTACCTCTGCTGTGAGGACTGCTCAGCCCTTTTCAGAGCTGCTTTCTACTCTGGTGTCCACCTGATTCACCCTGCTCTCACCTGTGCTCCAAGAAGCTGTAGCATGCACAGTGACCACATCCTGGTAAACACTCTTGGCAGATAGGCTAAACCAGGTTGAGAGTAACCACAGGGTCTCAAACCCTTTGGTGAGTTAGGGGGGTGTCTACCACAAGCATTTGAAGACTTACTCCAGTGGAATGGGCAGATGAGAACAATTTATTCTAATGGACATGAAGGCAGATGAAGCAGAAGCTGTGGAACTCTTAGAACTTGATCAGACATAGGAGACACTAAAGTCATTTACTATATCCCAAGATATCACCCATACCATTTTACCTTTTTTAACCTATCTCAAAGTCCCATGGTGACAGGCAAGTGAAGAAGCAGCAGGTGTGGATACACTGGGAACTGCACACAGGTGGCCCAAACTGTAGAGTCATCTTCTCATTGGAACCAGCAGTGGGATTTGGCAGCCCTGTGGGTATCTGAGCAACCTTTTAAGGATCACATCACTCACTTCCTGGAAAGAAGAAGGGACTAGAAAAGGTGTCGAACAACACTAGGAGAAATGCCAGGAGTAGAACAGAAGTCTCTATACAACGTTCATCAAAATGACCAAGGCCTTTGATGCTGTCAGTCATGAGGGCTTGTGGAAAATTATGTCAAAATTTGGTTACCCAGAGAAATTCATCAGTATTGTATGTCCGTTTCATGATGGCTTGCTTGCCTGGTTCTGGATCATGGACAATGCTCTGGAGCTTTCCCTGTCACTAATGGAGAAAAGTAAGGCTGTGTGCTTGCTCCCATGCTTTTTAGCATGATGTTTTCAGCGTTACTGTCAACAGATTTCAACGAGGATAAAAATGGCATCAAGTTCAGCTAACACGCTGATGGTAAGTTATTTTACTGGAAAAGGCTACAAGATGAGACTAAAGTAAAGGGAGAGTTGGTGATGATTTTTTTGTCCAGAGATGATTGATTGTGTGCAGACTCTGAGAAGCAACAAAGTATGGATTGATTCTCTACTGCTTGTGCTAATTTTTGCCTAACAATTAACATCCAGGTTCTCCACCAGGCAGCACTGCACCATCTATATGTGGAACCATCAGCTACAGTAAAAGGAAGAAATTCTGAATGCTGGGGATAAGTTTGTTTACCTTGGCAGTATACGTTCCAGGGATGTGCATATAGATGATGAGGTTCACACACAGTACCAGAGCTAGCCCAGTATTTGGGAGGCTCCAAAGAGAAGTGTAGGAGAAAAGAGGTATTTAGACTGACTAGCAAACTAAAGGCCTACAGAGCCTTTGTGTTGACCTCATTATTATATGCCTGTGAAACCTAGAAATACCAGTGCCATGCCAGGAAACTGAATTGCTTCCATTTGAATTGTCATAGAAAGATTCTGAAGATCACCTGGCATGATAAGGTAGCAGGCACTGAGGTCCTTTCTTGAGCTGAACTGCCCAGCATTCAAACTCTACTGCAGAGAGCACAGTTCCGATGGTCTGGCCACATTATTCAAATACCAACTGTACATTTGCCTAAAAGACTATTTTACAGAGAACTCACACAAGGCAGGTGTTCAAATCGTGGTCAGAAGAAATGATATAAGAACTCTCTCAAGGTCTCAGAAGAATTTTGGAATCGATCGTGTGACATGTGAGACACTGGTAAAGGACCACCCAGTGTGTCTTGCCCCCATTAAAGAAGGCACTATACTCTATGAGGGAAGCAGAAATGCAGTACCTCAAAAGAAACATGAGATATGCAAATTTAGAGACATCTCCAGTCCAAATGTTCATGTGAACTATTTGTTTTTTGTTTGTTTGTTTTTGTTTTAGGCTAGACAATGGGGTCAAGTGACTTGCCCAGGGTCACATAGCTAGTAAGTGTCAAGTGTATGAGGCCGGATTTGAACTCACATCCTCCTGACTTCAGGGCCAGTGTTCTATCCACTGTGCCACCTAGCTGCCCCCATGTGAACTATTTGTGCCCAACCAGTTGAAGAGCCTTCCAAGCTTATGTTGGTCTGATCGGTCACAGTCAGATGCACTGTACCTTGACTCCAATATAGGGATGTCATTTTGGTCTTCTTCAGGATCAAAGGACAACAACCAGCTAACCTATATCAAGTTCCTTACTTTCTTAGGAAGGAGTGAGAGGAGGAAGGGAGAGAATTTGGAACTCCAAATTTGAAAAAAATGAATTTAAAATTTTTTCACATGCAGAAAATATTTTTTTTAAATGATGCAGATTAAACTTAAAAAAAAAAATAAAGTATCTGGAGAATTGAGTCCTAGGTCCAGATTTTTACTAATTAACTATTTGGCTTTTGGCAAATCACTTCAGCATTTCATTTTCTTCACCTATGAAATTAAGGAATGTAATTAAACAATCTCAAAAATCTATTTTAGCCTAATCCTTATAGGAATATTTATGAAACAGCCTTACTAAAAGGAAGAAAAAGATAATTTCCATGTATGATTTTAGCAAGGAAATATGGGAAGGGAAGAAGTATATTTTACCTGACTAAAAAACATTTTGAACGTCATGGCTTGAAATTTCTACTTTCTCAGGTTGTATCCCCATCATGCAAGTGCCCTGAACAACCTTGGAACACTGACCAAAGACAAGACAGAAGCAAAGGAGTACTATCAAAGAGCTCTACAGCTAAACCCACAGCATAACCGAGCTCTTTTCAATCTCGGAAACCTACTCAAGTAAGCTGAACATTCTACCAGAAATTAATTGACAATATTAATGTAATGATTCCTTTTCTTTTAGCATTATTAAATATATACAATTTTGTATGTACATATGTATTTTATTAATAATTTTAAGGTTTACATTACAATAATTTCTGGACATACCATTCCCTCCCCACCCTCTGAAAAAAACAAACTGAACTCTCTCGTAACAAAGACAAATAGGTAAACATAAACAACTAATGTAGTCATTGTGGTACTATGCTCCATCTGACTGTGGTTGTGATATTTTGCTTATGCTAATCCTCCATCTTTTTGCTGGGAAGCTTGAGGTATGTTGTCCTGCATGTTCTCTGGGATGAAGTTTGATTACTAAAATTATGCAGACTTTGACTTCATTTTAATACCCTTTTCATTGTTCTCTTGGTTCTACCCTTGTTATTCTGTTTCAGTTCATATAAGTTTTATGATGTTTCTTCAAATTACTGAAGAGTAATATCCATGTATTTTCATAAAATACAGTTTGTTCAGCCATTCCCCAGTAGGTTGACACCCACTTTATATCTAGTTCTTTGTTTAACACTGTTTAGTTAGAACAGTATAACTATTCTTGAAGCGAAATGGTTTAGGTGTTTTAATTTCCAATAGAAAACCTCATACATTTTCTAGTACATATCATGGAAATAATTCCCAATACAGCAAGGAGGCAGCCGTGTCCTAATATTTAACCATCCTTCTGTTTAACAACTGATGATGGAGCTGTTTATATCACTATGTCAGTGGAAAGGGGGATTAAATCAAGGAAGTTGATGGGGAGAGTCTTGCATTGGAAGGGAATAGAAACGGTCTCATTAAAAAAACATTCCTATTTTGGGAGAAATATATGTCTCTGGTAAGGAACAAAGGCTTTATATTGGGTAATTTCGGGAAATTTTATACAAGACCATTTTCTTCTACAGAAGAGAAAACCTCACATCTCCAACTGCCTATTAGACATCTGAACTCGATGTCACAGCGACTCATTAAGTATATCTGAAAGAGAGCTCACTATCTTTCCTTCTAAACCTTTCCCTCTTCCTAACTTCCTGTTGCTGTCAAGGGCACCAATATCCTTCCAGTTACTCAAGTTCACAACCTAAGTGTCATCCTCAACCCCTCACTCTCATATACCCTTTTATTTCCTCTTACATTGTCATTGCCCTGGTGCGGGCCCTCATCACCAACTTCTTATTGATCTTTTTACCTCCGCCAGACTCCAGTCCATGCCACACTGCTCTCCACCCCTTGTTGTTTAGTCATTCAGTTGTGTCCAACTCTTTATGAACCTCTGTACTATAGCACATCAGTGCTGTCTGTGGGGTTTTCTTGAGAAAGATACTGGAGTTTGCCATTTCCTACTCCAGTGAATTAAGGTAAACAGAGGTTAAGAGGTTAAGTGACTTGCCCAAGGTCACACAGCTAGTAAGTACCTGAGGCCATATTTGAACTCAGGTCTTCTTGACTCCAGGCCCAGTACTCTATCCACTGAGCCAGCTAATCCTCCTCCTCAAATCAGTAAACTCCAGTGAATCCTCAATACCTCCAAAATCAAATATGCAATCCTTTGTTGGGCTTTTAAAACCATTCATAATCTAAACCCTTCATACCTTTGCAATCTTCTTATACCTTACTCTCTACTAATCTGCAGTGATACTGGCCTTGCTGTTTCTTGCACAAGATATACTATCTCTGGATGCTGTGTACATTTTCATTGGCTGTCCTCTATGCCTAGAATTCTCTCTTTCCTTATTTCCATCTCCAGGCTTCTCTGACTTCCTTCATGTCTTAGCTAAAGACTTCTGCAAGAAGTCTTTCCCAATTCCCCTTAATGTTCATGCCTTCTCACTAAAGTTATCTCCAGTTCATCCTGTATAGACCTTATTTGCACATAGTTGTTTGCATGTTGTTTCCTCATTATACTGTGAACTCTTTGAGGGCGGCAAGGATTGTTTTTGCCTTTGTTTCCCCAGGTCTTTGCACAGTGCCTGGCACATTGTAGGTGTGCTTGAAATGCTTGCTGACCTGTTTGAGGGTAAAACTATGCACTAACATAAAAATAAGAGAGGAAGGAGTTAAAATTTGATACTTTAGAAACTTTGGCCTTTTGGGAAATATAGTGAAAATGAAGAAAGAACAAGTAACAGTATACCCAGTGAACTAGAAAAAAGAATTTTAATTAGGCTAAAAGAAAAAAGAAATAACAAGGACAAAGAAAAAGGTCTTCTTAGGAAAGCGTGCCACAAAATAATGTTACTTGAAATAACATTGGAGGGGAGGAGAGGAAAAGAAAGATTTTGACCCATCTACTTGACTAGATAGGGAAGAAAACAAAAATAATAAATATATCATATGTATTTATTTATATATATATTTATATATACACACAGCATGCTAGTCTTTATATAGTTATTTCAGGTTTGCAAAACATTTTAAAATATTTAATTTTATATTCATAACAACTCTGCTATTCTCATCCCCATTTTATACATGAAGAAACTGGGTTAGTCAATGTGACTTTCTCAGGGTAACATAGCTAGTAAGTATCTGAGGCCATATTTAAACTCAGGTCTTCCTGAGTCCAGGTCCAGTATTCCATCTATTGGTAGAGTTAAGAAAAAATGAACAATTAAAAAAATTTTCCAAAAAAAAAATTTGGGGATCGAACAGATGAATAGGAATGGTATTCATGGGGTAAGAATAGACTAGAATCACTACTACATAAACAAAACTAATCTCAAGGACAGAGTACTTAAAAGTGGAAGTAGAAGAGAAGTAAAAGAAATGAGCATTTATTTAACACCTAATTTGTGTCAGGCACTGTGCTAAGTGCTTTTACAAATATTATCTCATTCAATCTTCACAACAACCCTTTGAAGCCGATACTATTATTACCCCACTATACAGTTGAGGAAACAGAGACAGGCAATTAAGTGACTTGCCCAAGGACACACAGCTAGAAAGCACCTGAGACTAGATTTGAATTTAGGCCTTCTTGACTTTAGGCCCAGTGCTCTATACTATGCTACCAGCTGCTTTGGCAAATGCACAAATCAATGCAAAAGAAATACATGCTGGAAAATACAAAGTGAATTAAGAGTCAAACTTGGGGTAAAGATGTTACGTTGTTGTTGTATAGTTGTTTTTCAGTTGTGTCCGACTCTTTGTGACCCCTTATAGGGTTTTCTTGTCAAAAATACTGGAGTAGTTTGCCATTTCCTTTTCCAGCTCATTTTACAGAAGAGGAAACTGAGGCAAAGAGGGTTAAGGGACTTGCTTAGGGTCACACAACTAGTAAGTGTCTGAGGCCAGATCTGAACTCAGGATGGTGAGTCTTCCTGACTCCACAGCCAACCTCTATCCACTGTGTCATCTAGCTGCCCTGGGATTAAGAGGACCTAGATTCAAGTCTGATCTGACACATACTTACTGGTTGTGTAACTAGACAGGTCACTTAAACTTTTAGTGCCTCAGGCAACACTAAAAATTTCAGAACAGGTGCCGATCTAGTTTGATAAAAAGGAATTTCCTCATTAGGATTCTTTGTACCAGTGAAATCGTAAGTCCAGTTAAAAAACAAGCAGCAAATCTTAGCTCTCCAAGTTTTATGTTTCTGTCAAACTCTATGGTTTTAAAGAGTTTTTATTGCCTTGCAACTGTTCTGCCTGTGACAGGTGGGATAAGTAGCTCGTTTATGGAAGAAGACTAGTCTGGCCAGTTTGTAGTCCTTACGTATGCCAAGATATCACGTGACAGTGATTTTGATGATGGCAAAGAATTGGAAACGATTAGACGACCATTGATCAGGGAATGGCTAAACACATTTTGGCGCATGAATGTAATGGGATTTTATTGTGCTGTAAGAAAGTATGCGCGTGATGTGTACAGAAAAGCATGGAAAAATCTACATGATCTCTGCATACATTCTACATACAGAGTGAAGTAAGCAGAGCCAAGATAACAATATACACAATGACTGTAGCAGTGTAAATGGAAAGAACAGCCACAAGCAAAAAAATCAAAAGTGAATATAGCAAAAAGTATTAAGTTCAAACGTAACTCAGATGAAGAGATATGAGAGAAAACCTTCAACCCACCCCTTCACAGAGTTGGGAGATCCACAGATGTTGCCCATTACACGTGCTTTTGGACTTTTTTCAGTGCATGGATAGGCTGTGCTGATGTTCTCCTCTTTTTTTTCTTTAAAAATACTATTTGTTATAATTAGGAGAGCAAGGAATGGTCTACCTGTCAGATCTATGGAGGAGGGAAGAATATATGACCAAACAGGAGATAGATAACATTATGAAATGCAATATGGATGATTTTGATTACCTTAAGGTAAAAAGCTTTTGCACAAACAAAGGCAATGCATCCAAGAATTGAAGGGAAGCAGAAAGCTGGGAAACCATTTTTATAGCAATGTTTCTGATAAAGGCCTCATTTCTAAAATATATAGAGAACTGAGTCAAGCTTGTAAGAATATAAGCAATTTGTAATCAATAAATGTTCAAAGGATATGAACATGCAATTTTCAGATGAAGAAATTAAAGCTATCTATAGTCATATAAAAATGTTCTAAAACTATTGATTAGAGAAATTCAAATTAAGACAACTTTGAGACATCACCTCATACCTATCAGATAGGCTAATATGGCAAAAAAAGGAAAATGATAAATGTTGTGGAAGGTGTGGGAAAATTGGAATACTAATGCATTGTTGGTGGAGTTGTGAACTGATCCAACTATTCTGGAGAGCAATTTGGATCTATGACCAAAGGGCTATAAAACTGTGCATAGCCTTTGATCTAGAAATACCACTGCTAGGTCTGTATCCCAAAGAGATCATAAAAAGGGAAAAGTACCCACATGTATAAAATTATTTATAGCAGCTCTTTTTGTGGTGGCCAAGAATTGGAAATTTAGGGGATGCCCATCAATTGGGGAATGACTGAACAAATTGTGATATATGAATGTAAT